AGCTTTTATTTTGTTTTCTCTGTGTGTGTGCGCTTGTGAGCACGCACTCGCGCCAGGCTGTGCACCAGGGTGACTTTATGTGCACCCTAAGCCTGCAGAGGCCAGGAGAGGGCATCAGATTCCTTGGGACAGGAATTTGGGGTAGTTGTGAGCGTCCGTAGGGGTGCTGAGAACTGAACTGCGGCCCTCTGCAAATGCAGTAAATACTCTAAACTGCAGAGAGCCTTCTCTCCGGCACCCCAACCTGTAGCTTCAAATTTAATCAGAGATGGGAATGTGGAAACACTGAAGGAACGATATAGTTTGTCAAACTGATAATTTCTCTCAGACTTTTTCCTGAAGGCACTGGGAGTCAAACCCAAAGCCTCGTGTATGCGAAACCGGTGTTCTGCCTCTGAACTGTACTCCATAGCCTGCCTTCTTTCTTTCTTTCTTTCTTTCTTTCTTTCTTTCTTTCTTTCTTTCTTTCTTTCTTTCTTTCTTTCTTTCTTTCTTTCTTTTCTTTTTGAGACAGGGTCTCTTTATGTAACACTGGCTGTCCTAAAACCCGTGCTGTAGCCCAGGCTGGCCTGGAACTCACAGAGATCCGCCTGTCTCTGCCTCCCGAGGGCTGGGATTGTGCCACCACACCTGGCTGTCAATCCTGGCCTCTAATGATTCTTTTTTCATTTGTTTTTAGGTTCCTAAGACAAAGTCTGTTGTAGCCCAGGCTAGTCTCAAACTCTCCATATAGTAGGGATGGCCTGAACTACTGAACCTCCTGCTTCCATCTCCCTAGTACTGGAATTATAGGGTATACCTCCATGCGTGGCTCTGTGCTGGTTTTCATTTTAATTTGAAGATAGAGTCCTTCTAAGTTGCCCAGGCTGGCCTCAAACTTCAAGAGCCCAGCTCTTACTCCCCAAAGCATCTTGGCTACTATACATGGCTCTCAGAATGGGTGGATCTCCGGGAGCTGGAGTTACCGATGGGTGTGAACCATTATTTAGGTGCTGGGAACCAAATCCCCCAGGGAGCAGCCAGTGCTTTAACCATTGAGGCAACTCTCTACCTCTATAAAAAATATTTATTTTACTTTGAACTATGTGTATGTGTGGGAGGGGTAGGATGTGCACATGCGTGCGGATGCCTGTGGGAGCCAGAGAGAGAGTGTGGATGCCTGTGGGAGTCAGAGATTGTGGATGCCTGTGGGAGCAGCAGCAAGAGATTTTCTGGAGCTACAGTTACAGGCAATTGTGAGCTGCCCGCTTTCAGAGTTGGAGACTAAACTCTGTTTCCGTTAAAAAAAAAAAACAAAAACAAAAAACAAAAAACCCAGCATGCTTTTTAAGCATTGTGCCACCTCTCTCCTCTCTCTCTCTCTCCTCTCCCAGTTTTTCGAGACAGGGTTTCTCTGTGTTATTTTGGTGCCTGTCCGAGATCTCACTCTGTAGTCCAGGCTGGCCTTGAACTCACAGAGATCTGCCTGCCTCTGCCTCCCGAGTGCTGGGATTAAAGGCGTGTGCCACCACTGCCCGGCTGTATCACTCTTCTTAACCCCAAACTTTTGTCTTGTTTTCCCTCCTTTGAGACAGAGTGTATATCTCACTGTGTACCCTTGATTGGAACTCACTATGTAGATCAGGTTAATTTTGACCTAGTAGAAATCTGCATTTGCCTCAGCGCTTCGAGCTGGCATTAAAGACACCCAGTCTCTCCTGCCTTTTCCCAAGGCCTCCAAAAAGGTCAAGCCGGAGCGGCACCGTGCTGCTCCAAGTGCACAGTCCTTCTGATGTTAGTGCTGTGGGTACAGCTTAACCAACCTGTTTGCCCCAGGCCTGTGTGAATCACAAACAGGGTGCTCACTCACTCCCCACTCTCTTTCCGGGAGTTCCTACTGCGTTTCTGATCGTGAGATAACTGAGCTGACAAGACATCACTTGTAGCCATGATGAGTCGACTCTGGCAGACCAAACTTCAGCTGCCACATGGCCTCCCAGCAACGGGGTTGAAGGGAGGGCGAATGTGTTTGTATACTTGTTTCTCGAGTCTCTCTGTGTAGTTTCTGAGGTAGGGTCTCTTGTATCCCAAGCTAACCTTGAACTCCTGATCCTTCTGCCTCTACCCCAGTGCTGGAACTACAGGCGTGTACCCTGCATCAGGCCTGAGTTTATTCAGTGCTGGCGACTGAATCTTAGGGTTTGATAGGCAAACCACTGCCCACTGAACTATATCCACAAGCCTTCTGGAGTTTCTGGATTTAGCTTAATGTCCCACGGATGTTTTATGATTCCTTCATCATAGGTACAACATTGTTTAAAGTCAAATACACAGAAAGATGTACCTTGTGAGTTCCGGTACCTGGGGGAGGCTAACAGCTCAGCTGAAGAAAGTCAGCCTGCAGAGGGTGATTTTCCAGTCCCATTTCCCCAGTCTCCCAGGCAGGGGTGGATAAAGCTGAAAGGGTGTTGGTAGGCGCCTTTCCAAGCTCTAGTAAACTAAGCTAACAGTATGTAGGGTGATGAGTTAGGGATGACAAGCCTCAGTGGCAGATGAGGAAAAGCAAGGCTTCCTTCCAGGAACAGTTTCAACACAGTCAGGCACACCAGTGTTATCTTACTGTATTTGTTTCAGGCTTTTGTCCTTGGTTTGTTTTGTTTCTGAGACAGGATCTCATGGAACCCAGGCTGGTCTCGAACTCTCTATGTAGAGAGGAACTACCTTGAACTTCTGATCCTCCTGCCTCTCTACCTTCCATATGCCAGGATCATAGACCAGCATGACTATGTCTAGAGCACAGCTACTATTTGAACATAGGCCTTTCAGAGTTTGGAGTCTTTCTTCTGCATTCTGCTAACCAGGAACCTCCCCTGCTCCCACATCCACTTGGACAGACACAGCATAAATTAGCAAAGTCTTGTTTTGCTCAGCCGCAGATGTGTGGCTTTAGGCAGGCCTCTCCAGGGCTTGCTTTCGCCTAAAATCAGATGTCAAAGCTATGTATGACAGTGTGTGCCCCAAAACTCAAGATGCTCAGCAGAAGGGCCAGCTGAAGCCAAGAGTTCCAGGCCAGCCTGGGCAGTGCTGTGAGACCCTGTCTGAAAAATGAACACATACATAAATAAAACCGGGGGTCAGATCTGATGGTTTTGAAGACCTCGGCAGGTGAGAGAATCTGTGCTTAGCCCCACGTCTCCGATGCTAGGTGTGGCAGGCTGTAGGGCAGGGGACACACAGCTTCTGTTCCCGATGCACTGCTGTCCATCCAGGGGGTAGTGGGGAGCTGGAGAGATGGTGACTCAGCTGTTTGACAGTGTTTGCTGCTGTCACTGGACTGGAGCTCTGAGCTCAAGCCCAGCGGCTCGACAGGCGTCACTTCAGTTCTAGGGGATCCCAAGGCCTCTATGGGCACCCGCACATGTGTGTGTACATATACACATGGAGGGACATACAAATATTAATGAAAATAAAACCTTTTCTAAAGGAGGGGGAAGTGAGAGAGGCATTAGCTCTGACACGCAGATCACAATCATGACACAAAGAAAAAGAAGAAGAAAGAGAAAGAGAGAGAGTCATAAATACAAAGGTGTGGTCTAAGAAAAT